ATACAAATATATGCACAGGTGGTGTTAATTAGGGTCCATCCCCATGGGACCAGATGGTCCACTCCGCCATGGATGCAGATGGCGCAATTCTACGAATTGCTCTGCAGCGCGTGATCCGCTCACTACTCCTGGTAGGAGGTGGGAGGACAAGCCTCACTGCAAGGTCGAAGAATGGCAAGAGGATCACGCGCTGCGGCGCCATTGGCAGAATCGCGTCATCCGCAGCGGATCAGTGAGTGGACTGTCCAGCTCCATGGGGCTGCACCCTTGTTAATACCAAAAATACGAATACCCCCATCTCTACTCATGGTGAAAAGCTTGAGAGCTTTAGTCCACAAGAAACTGGAGACCCAAGGTTGGGAACCATTTCTCTATATTCTATGAAGTTCTGAAAATTTTTCCATAACTAATTTTGGAAGAGGTGCTGGGTCATGGAAAGAAAAATGGGAAGACATGTAGGGATCCTGTATCTAACATACTGAGAAAATTAAAGGTGAGTGCTGATAATGAAGATGTCATGCATTCCAAAGTCTCCATTAGTTCCAACATAGGAGTCCTGGTGGTAATCACAGAAAGTGGTGGTCTAGACCAGTGGTTCTTAACGTGGGCAATAATGCCCCCCAGGGGGCGATTTCATTTTTCAGGGGGGCAGTAGAACGAAAAGGGGCGGCGTGGGGGCGCTGGAACAGAAGGGGGGCGGTAGGGAGGTGCTGGAGCAAGCCAAACCTGTGAAGATGTCTGCAGCCTTTTCACAGTGTGTATGAATATATATTTTCCTCCAACCTTAATTTAGTTTCAGAGTTTTTGTCTTGAAATTTTTAGTTCCTGCACTGTGGTTTGTTTTTATGCCCTTTTTATATTTCTTTTTGCGTCTTAAAATTCGCTTGCAACTAAATCATTAAATGTTACTTTTTGGGGGCATTTCATTTTCTTGGAATTGAATTTTTTTTCCAGGGGTCATTGGATTTAAGTGTAATTGATTGATTGATTGATTGATTGATTGATTGATTGATTGATTGATTGATTGATTAATTGATTAATTGATATTAATAAGATATCATCACCATGGCGAGGGGGGGCGATGATAACTTCCTCAATGCCTCAAGGGGGTGTTTCTTTCAAAAAGGTTAAGAACCACTGAAAATTAATACATTTCTATACTTCTGACTTAGTGCAAAACACTACTCTACATGGTTTACACTCAGTAACACAACACAACAAAACCCTCCACCCCAGATGCCCAACATTAAGACAAAAATATGCAGTAAATATACAGTATCTGATGAAAATGCAAGAGGTTAAAAAAGTGAAAACAATAAACATTTATTTTCATAATGCAAAATACAACTGTGTATGTCTACATCCAAATTTTATACCAACTAGAGTATACACACTGAAATGACTAGGACTTGTTTTTCGTTCTACCGCCCCCCTGAAAAATGAAATCGCCCCCTGGGGGGCATTATCGCCCACATTAAGAACCACTGGTCTAGACATAACAGATGGTTGCCAGTGATAGCCTTGTTCTTTTGGTGGCAATGTACATTTGTAATACCTCAGAGTAAAAGACTGGCTCTGGTATCAGGCAGTGTCTCAACACTGAAGGACACTAGTTCCAGAAGTTTCCCTATGTGGATCTATGACTATTCATGGTACCTAGGGGAGTACTGTTGAGATGATTACAGTAATGGTAAGGTGAAATGCCAGTAAGTATTAAGAGTACTCATAATAGTAGTGAGGATTTTCGTACCAAAGAGAAGAACAGGCCACACTGTGCACTGATGAACTTTAAGTTCACCTTCAAAAAACCCAACCCAAAACAAAAAGCTTATGTCCACCATCTCAGCAGAGGGCACCCTATGGCTCTCCTACGCTGTAATTACAATTGGTATCTGCGTTTTAAAGTTTGATTTTACAACTGTGTCTTGGAGCAGAGTCATAAGACCTGTAGATGAAATAGCTGAAAGAGAGAAATAGCTACTGAAGCACTAGGAGTCAAGGTAGCCAGATTGAATGAGGTAACTGCAGTTCAAATGGCTGTCACAGACAGCTGTAGCAGAGTAAGTGGACTGCTTTTCTTCTTCAATTTCTTGGGTTTCATTTTTTCTTTAGATACTGTGTGAGACCTCCCACAGGAAGAAGACTTTAGATCTTTTGGAATTGTGTTCATGTTTACAGTTCCAGCCAACACATAGATGTCCAGTACTGAAACTGCCAAAGAAGAAGATGATGCTGAAAATCTGGCAGTTTGTTGGGATGAGTCAGCTGAATCTACCACAGCCACCAAAACTCTGAACTGCATTTACAAATCAAAGTGCATGCAATGGCTTATTTTGAACAGCTGAATCAACAGTCTGCAGCAATCATTCCCAGAGAAGTAATTTTAATTCCAAATTCCTATTGTGAAAGCTACTGTAGTTAAGCCCTTAAGAAAAGCACACTGCTGGGCAAGGTGGACTTTACCAAGACAATATAAGCATTTTGCATGCCCATCTGGTGATTCTCTCACACAGGTGACATAGTTCTTGAAGAGGGATAGGGAGGCCAGAAATAGGAAAAAAAATACAAATCCTAATAGAGACTAAACTGATGAAGAAAAGATGAAATATGGAAAAAGCAATGTGATACAGAGAGGAAAAATTCCAGAAGACTCATTTCAATGCTGCTAGCACAGTGGACTAAATGGAATGGAGGGAAAGCTCTTAAGGCATACATAGCTTTGTGTAGTTAGGAGAGAGGATTTCAGGGTTTCCACCAAAAGCTACTTAATTCTAGAAGATTTCTAATAAAGCTCTGCTCCACCAATGTCAGTGAGTGACAGGAACATGAAGAAAAATTACCTATTCCTTTGGCTCTATATATCATGGATACTAATGTCAGTTTATTGATATCTTCTTTAAAATAATATTGAGAGGTTTATTTGTTTGTTTCACTGTTTTAATTAACTGTTTTAATTTCCTTTCAATTTTGTGCTTTGCTCCAAAAACTGCTGTTACTGGAAAACTACTAACAATTTAGTACTTATGTATATGTCACATAACCTTTGCCTCAACAACAAAAATTTTTAAAGATCAGAAGAAAATGGGCAAAATAGGAGGCCTACCTCTGAGTGGCTCTCTACCATGCCTTCCTATATTCTGAGACATAATCAAAGTATATGTTATATATTGAGGATAGTACTGTTGCACCACCTGTATGTCTCTGATCTTAATTAGGGAATTTTAAAAATCTAGTCTTTTTGTCTTTTTACACCTAAAAAACAGATCTGAAGAGTAAGTCTTCAGAGTCCACAACCTACATCTTCAGGGTGAGTGAAAAGAGACCATTTGTATATCTATACAAAATTGTGGGAAGCTCCTGCCCAAGGCCATTAGCTGTTATGTTTCAGTGATGAGCAAACTCTCCTGGCAGAGAGCAGCAGCTGCCAGTGGGCGGGTTGACCCACTCACTCTGCCTCTTCCCTTAGACTTACAGCCTAAATTCAAAGACTTTCTCCAGCCAATCCTAGTGGCGATCAGGTAACCAGTATCCTATCTGAATTCTCACAACATACAATGTAACCCTTGCTATGTTAATAAAAGAGTTCTCAAGGCATTGCTTGAGACTCTCTCCGCTGGTTTGGACATCTACTTGTCGACTCCTTTGCAATGGACTTTCTATTTTTCCATGATTAACTACAAAAAATACCTAACTGAGCTGAAAAATTTCAGATTCATTCTAAAGTTAAGAGTACTCTCCTATTTAAACACACACACACATACTTTTATTCTTGGATTCTTTGGAGGGGAGGTCAGCAGATTGTTAGTTTTTTTTTTTTTTTTTTTTTTGGACAAAGCTAACAAAAAATGGTAGGGACTTTAGGTTGCCATTATCATTGCTGCAAATGGAACCCTTGGCTGTTTGTATAATGGTTTATTTTGAAAATAATATGTACAGAAAAAAATCTGTTCTTTCAATAAGAATACAATTCGAAGCTTTTGAAAATTAATGTTTATAATTGTAACCAAAGCAAAGCGTGCTGCTTATATACCGCCCCATAGTGCTTCAAGCACTCTCTGGGCGGTTTACAAGTTAATTATGCAGGCTACACATTGCCTTCTGCCTGCGAGCTAGGTACTCATTTTACCAACCTCAGAAGGATAGAAAGCTGAGTCAACCTTGAGCCGGCTACCTGGGATTGAATCCCGGGTCGTGAGCAGTTTTGGTTGCAGTACAGCAGTTTAACCACTGCGCCATGAGGCGAGATGCTTAGCAAGCCTAAACTGTAGTACACAAAACCACTTGAGAAAGATGACAAACTGAGATTTTGCCCTGAAGAACAAACTTCCACAGAAAAACAGCAGAATGTATATAGCAAGGTAGCAGAAAAGGTGAGCTAAAACATTGACTATATAACCTGTCACCTTCAAATGTGTGTGCGTTTCGTTTTACAGAACTAAGTTTGATGGCCAGAATATTTCCTGTATAGAAACAGTCCTAATATCCCGTAAGTCTAATTCTTTCTCGCAATTTATGAAAATAAAAAACTCTCCCTGATGACCAGTATATAATGAAAGGCTGTGTGTGTGGAAATACTAAACAAGTGCTCCACTCTCTACCTTAATTTTAAGAAATGGCAGAGATTTATGGGAACCAGGTCATAGAGAGGCTCCAACTTGGAAAAGTGGTGACTGCCATGACCCTATAAGAGAGTACAAGTTTCCAATTAGACATGTATTTATATGTGAGCAAAGCTTGAATTAGCTGTCACTATACCAATACATGTTGAGTGAGAATTTCTTTACCCTCCACTAAAGAATCGCTCAGCCCAAAAGAAGTATTATTCTCAAAATTTTTACGTACCTGCGTCTCTCTCTGACCTCTGATGTTGAGGACACAGTGCCAGAAGTAGTAGTAGTCAAGGCTGTGGTAGCTGTTGTGGTGTTCACAACTGATGGTGCAACAGGAACAGTCACCGCTGTAGGAACATTATCCTTCTCTCTCTCAACACTATCCTCAGCCCATAAACGATTTGAGGTACTACAGTAAGATAAGAGCAAAAGATAAGAACAAAAAGAGAAAATAGCTAAACATGAAAGCAATTTACTAACACAGATACAGAAGATTTTTTCTTTTTTAAACAAATTTGAGAATACATATATTACAGCAACATCTAAATGGCTTCAGGTAAATTTTGTTAAAAATAACAAGCTCAATAAGCTATAACATCATACTATTCTCAAGTATTGGTTTTATGAATGTGCATAATATTACTTCATAATGCCAATTATCTCCATTTTTACACAAGCTGCAAACAGAACATGCTAACAGGAAAAATGAAAAAGAAATCTCTGGTAGCTTCTACACAAAAATGAATGTGCATACATAAAGCACATGGTGGACTAACAAAGTATACTGATGATCTCACCTGCTTTGTACACCCGCTGTTGCTGAACCCGTTGCAACCTTTGTAGCAGTGCTAGTGCTAGAAATCAGGCTTTTCTGAAGACCAGCTGGAGAGGTAACTGTTGATACTGATGTAACACTTGGAATATTAGAACTAATTAAGTCATCTTGTCTTCTACCAAAGGAACCACTGAAACATCATTTGAATTTAAAAGAAGAAAAACCGTATTAAAAAGTAATCGGTGGGAAAAGAATTTCTCAGTTCATCTGTACTATCAACTTCAATTTCTGTCCACCAAATAGCTTTATATATGTGGTATTAAAAATGAGCACCAAAGAAAAAGTCTCAATTTTTTCTTCTTCACAAATCAAAGCCCAATTCTAAAAAAAAAGCAAAAACATGCAGACATGCCTACTTGTAATCCTACAGCATATGTAACTAACATCAGCCAGAACCCTACTGCTGATTTACACTTGCATGAAGGAAATTGTATTATGTCTTGGTGGAAAATTGTCACTCATTATTGAGGTGGAATCATGCCTAGGAATTCAACCAGCACTTCATTAATAGGTAGCATTTTACCACCACGACTTACACAATGTATCTTACGGTATGTGTTCAAATCAGCAACAGGATTCTGGCCGTTGTACTATTTCAATTGTGACACTGCACTATTTGGATACTGAAATACCATGTAACTGCTATTTGACATTTCCTTAAACAGCACACACAATCCTATTGAGTAAAACACATCTTCTTCTTCCATTTTTTGTCTAGAAATATTACATCTGTGAGGAGAAAGGCTGTTACCATACTGGAAAAAATATTTACCCCTGATATAAAAAGTCCTTCAGAGGTAACAAGAAATTTACAAAAGAAACCACATGTGTAGTTTCTTCAAGGTCTACCTATCCGCAGCTTCTGGAAACCAGCAGGCAACTAAAGCTGTTGTGGCAGGTACACATCTATCTTGGAAAGAAGCAAGAGTCCAAACACTTCTACTCTCCTCAAACTGATAATCTTTTAATATCTGTAAACTCCAGGTCAGTGTAGTATAGCTCTTAAATTACAACGTAATAAAAACATTTTTTCTAATAATACACTTTAAGATCTTTAAGAATATAAATAATGCTATTCATTCAGTTTCTACTTTAAAATGCTTGCACTGAAAAAATTACACAATTCAATAAAAAGAGATGAAATTTGCCTTTACATTTTAGATGTCTACAAATTATTCTTCAGGACTTAAAACTGTTCTCAGAGCAGTTTCTTTTACCTTCTTTGATAGCTCATGTTCAGTGCTGAAGATCCTTCATTTGAGATATTTTTCTTTGCATCTTCTTCCCATTTTCTTCTTGTATAAGAACCACTACCACGTATTAAACTGGATGATGTGTCTCTGTTTTCTTTCTCATCAATGTCAGATGTACTGGCCAGCCGTCTTGGTATTGTTGGTGCAACGTACGCAAGTCTTGTTCCTTTTGTATCTTTCTCCTGGAAAAAAAAACCCAACTTTTAAAACTTGTGTTTACCATTGCTAGTTTTATTTTATAGCCAGAAATTCTACAGTACAAAATGGCTGTACTATAGAACAGGCACCATCAGCTGGTCCCATTCTGAATTGTTAACAGATAGATTTCATGCTACATTTTGCACTTAATTTCAATTGATTTAAGAAAAGACCAGTTAATACAACAAGTACTACACTGAAAACAAGCAAGTTCATAGTTTTCATCTTTAGAATCAGTAGTGGGCAACTTTTTCTGTTACTGTCAGTTGTTAGACTCCATAAGAAATAATCTGTTGGAGGTGTTCATGTTGGCAATGGGCATGGCAGGAGGCCCAAGCCGGCAGATTTCTCCCTGCTCTCCTCCTTTCTCTATCTGTGACAATGTTTTCCTTTTCTTCTACTTGTCCAGCAGGCTACTAAGGAATGTACACACTGGTGTTGCCAGAAGCCCATGATTATACTAAGTCTTCTGAAATTAGTCTGAGGGCTAACTGACCACCCCTTGTTCAGGACTTTCTAGTTCATGTTTAAAAATCAGTTCCTCTAGCAATAATATGTTTAAAGCAGGTTTGTTGCTCATTCTCTGTAGTTTTCACTCTGAAGAAAATCAAACAAAAATTCTAATATTTAAGAGAATGCAAATATGCCAGACATGAACTAAAGCACCCAGACACCTGTGAACAAGTCTAGCAATTGTACAGATTGTGCTTCCTGCACCAGCTGTTAGAAAATCAACATGTGTTTCTCACTGTTTAAGAAGAAACTGCTTTCTTACAATGAAAGCAGAACAATCCTTCAACCTATAATAATCACTTTATTTACTACTTATAGCAATGCTGTATCATTCTTAAGAGGACATACATTTACCAAGAAAACCTGTCCCAAGGCACTAGATAAGTATGAAACTACATGTTTACAACCCTTTCCTCGATTACTAAAGTCTCTCATGGTGCACTCATCTACCTACTACAGTACTTGGATCTCTAAGATGTCACCAAGCTATAAGGCGTCCACACTCATGCTGACCCTCACAGTTATCAAGGATATAGACCTTATTCCATGACTTGTGAAAATTCAGTATAAAGTTCAAAATTTCCAGTCCTCAGTCTTTCTCATTTTGAAATACATACTGTACACTCCTATTCTAAACCCACCACCAATCGAGTAGACATGGTCTAGAGAGGCGGGGTAAAATTAAAATAAAATAAAATAAAATAAATAAATAAATCAGTTATGTTGTTTCTTCTGAAAAAGTTACCTTGTCTTTGTTGTCTAATGAAGAAGACAATCTAGGGCTTGATGCTGAACGCATAACTCCTGTTGAATCCTTTTCTTTCTGAGTTTCTTTGCTAGCTGTAATCTCTGCCAGTGCCCCATAACTGCCAGTCTTTCGAAGACCTAATCTCCAAGAAGCAGGAGACTCGTCCTTTCTCTCTTCTTCTCTGGGAGAAACCTTAGTTGAAGTTGGGAACTGTAAAACACAGTGTTGCTTTTCTGTAAGCCTTATAATTCAAGTGTCCTCTGTCCAGTTAAATATTTGGGGGTGTACATGCACAGGTCACAATATGAGAAATTCTGAAACCTTGACAGGAATGGTATATATCTGTTGCCCTTCTCACTGACAAGTGTGCATGAACTAAGGGAACTATATCTTTCTGCTCAGTTTTCTTGATACCACCACTGGTGGCAAACTGGAGAGTTTTTAGGCTAGCTGAGTTTCTCTGAAAGGGCAGGTGGGCAGGATGTGCAACTGCACAGAGGACACTTGGAGAACAGTAGTTACAGACAAGCAACCCTGTTTTCTCCTTCGTGGTCTTTGTGAAGTCCCACATTTGAAAGGCTAATAAGCTACTTCATTTAATGTCCATCCATCATAGACATCAGATCTAGGGAAATAGTGATGTGTGTTAGCATTGCTCCAGCCTCTAATATTTAGTCCTCTGAATTACCCCAAATTCAAAGCTACTTCGAATATTTTTAGATTATTTCCAAGAGGGACAACAATCAAAGGTGGCACTTGTTTACTTAAGTCAAATTTTAGGCCCATCACAGTAATCCTTTATTGTGAAATATGAAATCTTGCTTCCAAATGGGTGATACAGTGAAAATGCCCTCAGCCAGAGCAATAATCTAACTCTAGGTTTTCCTATCTAGCTGCCATTTGGTCTGTCTAGCAGTGGTGACTTTTCTTTTTGAGTTACACTTTGACTCAAGAAGATCAATTCTAGCAAACTTCCTTAATGAATCCCTATCAAACACACAGGTGCCAAGTGATGGGCTTCCCATAAAAAAGGTAAAGGTAAAGGTTCCACTTGACAATTTTTGTCCAGTCATGTTTGACTCTAGGGGGTGGTGCTCATCCCCGTTTCCAAGCCATAGAGCCAGTGTTTGTCCGAAGACAATCTTCCGTGGTCACATGGCCAGTGCGACTTAGACACGGAACGCTGTTACCTTCCCACCGAGGTGGACCCTATTTATCTACTTGCACATTCGCATGCTTTCGAACCGCTAGGTTGGCGGGAGCTGGGACATAAAGGGCAGACATAAAAGAGAATAACTATGCATTGTAGAGATTTTATCACCATATACATATGGTCTTCCCTAATCCCTACACATTCATGCTTAGCTTGAAGCATATCCACCAAAATATATATTGGTCCCCAGCAGCTCAAGGGTACTAAAAGGGTAACAGAAATCAAATAATTAAATAGTTCACACATGTGCATGTATACTCCAACTAAGTTCAACTGCTACATATAGGTGGCTGAAGTTTTTCTTGGTAACAAAATTTTGCGGTGATGGTGTAATTCCGTAATATAGCCGAGTCATTTTAAGTACCACAAAGACTTGTAAATTTTGTGGCAGTCAAAGACACTAGCTAGCATTTTGTTGCATAACTCTACCTATTCAATGGAACTGATATCATAAGCACTTGATGTTAACTAAAGAGCTCCATTTAATATTTCAGGGTACACATGACCCAAGCACTCCAAAATTTTAAAAATACCTCTTTAATTATCATCAATCTACAACTTCTGGTGACACCACTCATGCTGCATGGGCAGAGCGGTGTAACAGGATCCTGGCCATTCATCCAGTCTCAGATCATGCACATAAGGGCAAATATAGCTGCCAAGGAAGATGGGTGTCAGCTATCATTGCTCCTGTCAAAACTCAAGCATTTCTATATGGTGACCAATGTTTGCTAAAAGCAAAAAATAGGATCGTGTGCATGAATTAAAGAAGGAAGACACATTCCAATCCTCATAACTTTAAATTTTGAAATCCATGCTTAATGGTATAGTAATCCCCTATGAATGTGTTTCATACATCTGGCGAAGGAAGCAAAACCATATGCAATTTCCTCAGCAAGTTAATGACCACATTAAGAACAATCCTCATCTATTAAAAATAATCACTTTTTCAAAGGTTAGCTTTGAATTTGCATTATAAACTACACATTAAAAATGAGATGCAAAAAAAACAAAACAAAAAACACACTGTTGGAAAAACATGCAACTGCAGAAACAACATTTAAATAAAGACTTGTTAATTGGCAACCAGGGGAGTAATCACACAGAGCCCTCACCAGAGCCTTTTCACCTTTGCTGGGCACTAGAACAATGCCCGTTTTACGTAAGCCCTGCCTCCATGATGCTGGATCTATAGAGTCCACCACAGGTATGACAGGAGGAAGGAAGTCATACTAAAGCCAATGGGGACAAGACATATAGAAAAAGATACAGGTTGAAATGAAAAATATGGCAGTCACTGGTTGAAAAGTCGACGTACTTGAACCACCACTTCACTTTGGAAGAATTGTAGTAAAAGTATGAGGCTTTTTTTATTCCACAAAAGCGTATAAACAAATCTTTGGCTATTCACAAAACCGTAGAGGAAAGCAGCTTATTTATTTATGTACAGCATGCTACAAACTATTGGCCTCATGTTTGTTTTTTCTTTTGTGCATGCTGTAGCTATTGTCTACCACCTATAGCTCTCAGTTGAGATTATTCATATATACGATCAATGGACTACAGCCAATTCTGGACAATATTTACCTCTTCCATGCTCTGTGTGCCATGTTTGTGCTTGCATACTGATACCCCTTCAAAACTCAAGGAACTACTGATATTCAATGGGCAACAGTATGGATACAGAAGAAGGACCCTGCTAGCTGTGTCCTCAAATTTAAGTTGACAGCACTTTTACAGGTCTCAACAATGTCACCCAAAACATCCAAGTCTCCTTTACTTGTTCATCTTTTAATGTGACCTATGCCATCCTTTACCAGAAGTGCCTCTCTGTATTCTACACAGTGAAGACAGGACTGCTGCAATGTAAGGGAATAAATGTGCACATTTCTGACATTAGAAATGGTATCACACAAAGCCAGTGCTGGGATATTTCAACTTTTCAGGACACATTGTCACTGATCTTAAAGTGGTTATCGTAGAAAAAGGGGAAGTTGAGTGGATTACATCCATACATTTCAGACTCAATATATAGGATTAAAAAGAGATCAGGGCTTTTTGGGAAGGGGGAGAAAGAGAGATTAAAATAAAATCTGTTAGTCTTATAGGTGCCACAATACTTGTATTTTTACTTTTGCTTGTTTTTTCCCTGAAAGAGAAAAATGACTACCCCTCTAAAAACTCCTAATATATTTATCAATTTACTTCATCTAAGCTGATTCACTACAGCAAGCAGAAAACGTAGACTGAAGGTTTGAGAAATGACTTGCATTAGCTATGAATTTGTACTTCACATTCTCTCTAGACCTGAGCCAAATACATGTGCCAGCTTTCTGCATCACTACCTGGGGAACTGCAGGATTGGATTCTCTTTTTCAGTCTTCAACAAGCAAACACAAGATACATCTCCCCTTTTACCTAACTGGGCTCCTCCTTCACAATAATAAGTTAAATGATGAAACTTTGTAAGATTGTCTAAATTTCTAACTATAGGATAAAGGTTGCACAGAGCTGGCTACAGATGGTCTTTTGTTAAAGCTCAGCACATTTTACAGCAGGGCGGAAGACTAAACAGTCAGTGCATCCAAACACAAAAACACCTTCCCCACCCCTGAAGTTCCCTCATGGAAGGCCTCTGGGATCTGAAATGGTCCTTCTCACTGACCTTATTGTTCAATTTTGGTGTTTTACAAGCTAAATCTATGCATTCAAAAACAAGTACCATAGTGCTCACTGCTATGTAACTGGTACACAGTCTTTAAATTTTAAATGACCTAATCCTTTATGGCAGTGGTCCTCAACCTGGGGCCTCCAGATGTTCTTGGACTTCAACTCTCAGAAATCCTGGCCAACAGAGGTGGTGGTGAAGGCTTCTGGGAGTTGTAGTCCAAGAACATCTGGAGGCCCGAGGTTGGGGACCACTGCTTTATGGCAGCAAATGAAACTTGGAAAACTGACAATTGTAATTTCATTTTTATGTACACTTTTTTAAAGCAGGCTACTTGGTGGCTAAATTTTGTAGTGGCTGAAATCCTGTTGGCACAATTATGCCCACAGAAAGATGGTGTCTTCACCAACAGGAGGAAATTTTTGGTAATGAAACACTTTCACCCTTTTCTCTTGATGCTTTTATAATTTAAGTATAATTCTTTCCATTGCATGGAAGCCATGTGATCCATGAGACAGAAGCAGAAAGTCTTTCATTACTGAGAATTTCCCCCTCACCAGTAATGTTAGCCAATATTTTTTGGTAAAGAAAGACTTTGTTCTCCTGTCCCAACACTTCCATGCAATGACAGGGACTGCTTGCAAGTTAGAAAAGATGTGGGAGGAAAGGGAGAAATTCTTCATTAATACAAGTCATCCTCTGCTGGTGACTTTACCACCCTTCCTCACGCATAGCTACATCAACAGGATTTCAGCATTGTTCCACATTTCAAATTTGTACCAGAAAGATTATTTATTTTAAGTGTGTGTGTGTGTGTGTGTGTATGGGGGTGTTAGTCAAACAGATTGCAAGGGGAGAAAATGTCAAAATCTGAACAATTAAAGACAGCTCGCTCACCTATAACTAAAGTTCTATGAGTGGCAATCTGTTTAGCACACATATGGATTTTTTCTCCTGTATAAGACCTTGCTCAGGAACATTCTGGACCTGAGCAATTTAGATGGGGCCTCACTCCCCACGATCCAAGGCCACAGCTGTGCCGATTCATGGTCCAAGCAGGAGCGCACCTCACTCCTGCTTAGGGGCCGCAGCCATATTATTCTCACTCAGGTTTTTCCAAGTGCTAAACTGTCCCATTAGATCAGGGGTCTCCAAACTTTTCAGCATGAGGGCCACATCATATATTTTACACATTTTTGAGGACCGAAGGAACACATGCACGCACGGAAACGGACCTGAGCCTGCAGTGTTTGCCAGACCAGATAAAAAGGCAAGGTGGGCAGGGTATGGCCTGCGGACCATAGTTTGGAGACCCTGCTTTAGATCACA